TCTTTAGGTGTGGATGGATGGAAGCATGGAGGCTCCCTCTTCTAGGAACTCTGCATGGAATTCTTAACTTTTTTCCTTTCAGGGAGTAGAAATATTTGGGTGATGCTAGGCCATGAAATCCAGCTGGCATCCTGAGGGGAATTCACACCTTTGAGCCAACTTATTTATATCACCCTCCTTGGCAATGTTCCCAAATATGGTACTGTTCTAGGCTGCTCTAAAGAAGTAGTTAGCTTGTGCTTTTATGAAACTGTTCTTTGTGTGAACCTGGACTACATGCATATCTTAAACATTGCTGTGAAAGATAGAGCCCCTCGAGATCTTTCGATCTTGGGTCTGTTGGCTTGTAGTACAAGTTCAATAATTTAGCTGTCTGTTTAATTAGTACTTCTCAATATTCTTTGCTATTATCTGTTAACAGGCGCACACACAGGCACCCATCCATCCCTGGAAGGCTCTGAAAAATGCATGGAGGGGGCGGGCTTATTCCTAAAGGGATTATGTGCTGATTATGCTCCAGCTGGAGGGAGCATCTCCGATAATTGGATAAGTACTGGAAAGGCCAATTAATTGTCACGCTCTTGCCCATTTGCACCTGTGGCTTCATTTGTCCTACAGGGAAGAATTCAGAAGGGCTTGTTTATGCCTGAGCCATGTATGAGCTATGTGTGTGCGTGAAAGAGATCTTATGTGTAAATCTAGTAATGTCAGTATAGTAGCGGTCAAACCTAATCACATTTGTTAGCTTTTGTCATGTGAATAAACCACAGCACAGAAACACATTGGAAACAGTAGGGGAGGCAAGCAGTAATAAACAAGCCCAATCCAGTGTCTGATGCTGGCGGCAATCAATTAGGCAATGTACTGTTGTCCTGTACTGCTGGTGAGGCATGTCCATTGACAGGAAATTTCTCTGGGAATAGGCAGATGCATTTTCCTTTTCGGTACCACTGCACAAGTTTTGTGGTGTGTACACCCTCAGCTAGTTTTTGTCAGCTTATGTGCAGTGCTAACACGTGTGATTTTTTGTTAAATGGCTTGAATTTGTTTGTCATGGTGATCCATATCCTGCTCCAAGGAAAGTGTCAGCCTACAGCATGACACTATTTTGCATTCTTCCGCACCTGCCTGTGATCACTCATTTGCACAATTCTGCTTCTGGTAGCAATAGTGATGGCTTAAGAGTTGTGCTGTGCTCGGCACCAAAGTCTCACCTCCTGACAATTAGGAATCCTCCAGACTCTTCTGCCCTTTGATTTTTTAGCACAGATCATGCCCCATGTTCTTCTGCTTTTAAAGGTTAAGAATTCAGACTCTTGGGTGATAGCAAAATTGATCTCCCCCCACACCCAGAAGGCTCTGACAGATGCGCAGTTGCAACATAATCATGCAATTGCAGAAGACCTCTCCAGCCCTGCATGGAGGGTACTGGCATTAGCTGCAAAGCCCTATAGGAGGCTGGATGTAGTAAAGCAGGACAAGGAATTGTGGACTGTTGCAGACTGGGCTTCTATAGTTGGTCTCTCCAACACACTGAGCCAGCTTGCTTCCATCCCCCAGCTCACAAGCTACTTGCAGTGCATGGTGTTCTTCATGCTGGCAAAACTCAGATCCTTGGCATGTTCTTTTTTTGGCTTCTGTGGAGGGTGGGAGCTGGAATAGCTGGCTCAGCCACATCATCAAGGATCATTTACTGTTGTGGTACAAATGTGTTGGATTTCTACTGGAGCCGGGGTCAAGCCGGCACTATTTGTGTGCTGCTCTCTATACCATAACCTTTTGTCAGACCTGCAGCTTGTTTCCTCAGTTTGCCAAACCACTGTGAAAAGCTGCAG